GCTCAGGCGATCCTTCCACTTCAGCCTTCCTAGTAGCCAGAACTACAGGCACACGCTACCATGCCCAGCTAATTTTGTTATTTATTGTAGATAGGAGGTCTTGCCATGTTGCCCGGACCTGTCTCGAACCCTTGGGCTCAGGCAATCCTCTCAATCCCACCTTCCAAAGTGCTGGTATTACAGTCATGAGCCACTGTGCCCAGCTTTCCATTTTCAAATCACGTATCCTGTTCTTTTGGAAAGCCAGACTTCATTGACTGACCTTCATATTCATGGGAAGAAATAACCAATAAAACCTACTAAGACTTATATGTTAGAAGTTCTAACATAACTGTTGGTTTCTTGTCTGTAACCCACTAATGTTGGGTTGGTCCAGAGTTCACCTCTTTTTCTTTTGATCCTCTAAGCTCATACTTTCATGTTGGGTTGGTCCAGAGTTCACCTCTTTCCCTTTTGTTCATCTAAGCTCATACTTTTCATGGTCTCACCTACTATCATGACTTGAAGTAACAGTTTATAGTAACAACTTTCAAATGTATGCATCTGGGCTTGAACCCACTGCCAATTTGTTTATGTTTTTTTCCTGCATAAATTATTGCAGTTACTTCCCTCATGGTCAATAGAAGATGAGAGGCAGAATCTGGGAGAAAAGTTTATTGCAACTAGGTAACAGGGAGATGATAGTTACATTACCATAAACATGCTCAAATGCAGTATCAATTTCTCTTAATTTATATTCCATAGCCCCTCACCCATACTCAAGTTGTAGTTAACAAGGGCTTGACTCAAGATCTAAGATCATCATCTTTCATTTACCTCCCATACAAAAGCACATGATTCAAATCTCTAACCAGGCTCAGCCTGTAATCCCCCACCTTTGGGAGTCTGAGGTGAGTGGATTGCCTGAGCCCGCGGGTTTGAGACCCGCCTGGGCAGTGAGACCTCATCTCTACAGTAAATAAAAAATTCAGCCGGGCGTGGTAGCGTGCACCTGTAATTCCGGCTACTTGGAAGGCTGAGGCGGAAGGATCACTGGAGCCCAGCAGCTCGAGGCTGCAGTGGCTGGGAGCGGCCACTGCACTGCAGTCTGGGCCACAGTGAGACTCCAACTCAAAACAAAACAAAAAAAGATCTCATAATCTTGCTAGCCTTTCCTTGCATGTGATCACTGATTTTTTTTTTTTTTTGAGTTGGAGTCTCACATTGTTGCCCAGGCTGGAGTGCAGTTGGCATGTTAACAGCCAATGCAGACTCGACCTGCTGGGCTCAATCTTTCCGCCTCACCCTTCCAAGTAATGAACTACAGGCGCATGCCACCATGCCCGCCTATTTTTTAAAAAAATTATGGTAGAGATGAAGTCTTGCCTAGTTGACCAGGCTGATCTTGAACTCCAGTATTCAGGCAATCCTCACCTCTGCCTCCCAAAGTGCTGGGGCATTAGGCGTGAGCCACTATCCCCGACTATCAGGAACTTTTTTTTTTTGAGTTGGAGTCTCCGTTGTCCAGGCTCGAGTGCAGTGACACACTCACGGCCACCACAGCCTTGGCCTGCTGGGCTCAGGTGTTCCTTATGCCTAAGGCTTTCAAGTAGCTGGAACCACCACAGCCGACTAATTTTTTGGTTTATTGTAGAGATGAGGTCTTGCCAAGTTGCCTCGGCTGATCTTGAACCCATGAGCTCAAACTCCTCTCTCCTTGACCTCCCAAAGTGCTGGGATTATAGGTGTGAGCCACTTTGCCTGGCCTTATGACTAACATTTAAAAGTAGCTTTTTGGGATTTACAGCCACATGGACTTATATTTTATAGTTCCTTTAGTAGGGGATGGAAAATTACAGCAATCAAAGAAACTACCCTAGTATATTTAGATAAACAATTTTGATTCAAACACGAGAAACCTAAGGAGCTCCCTATCTCTGAGCCTTGGCTTTCAACACTTTTACTGTTTTAGAAACATGTAACTGGGCCATAACATTAAGCAATGAAATGATTTGCCTTTGAACCTAGAAGTCTTTTTCATATGCAAAATTAAATCAATGGATATTAAGGAAATGGGTACAACAGCTTCCTTAATCAAAATTCTCTGTATTTTGCTAAACAGTGACTCACGCCTATAATCCCAGCACTTTGGGAGGGCACTTTGGGAGGCGGAGGCGAGAGGATTACCTGAGCTCAGGAGTTTAATACCAGCCTGAGCAACATGGTGAGACCTTGTTTCTACGATAAACTGGATGTGCTGGCATACGCCTGTAATTTCAGCTACTTGGAAGGTTGAGGTGGAAGAATGGCCGTGAGCGTGTCACTACACTGCAGCCTGGGCACCAGAGTGAGACTGCCACTCAAGAAATCAAAACAAAACAAATTCTCTGTATTTTATGAATAACAAGTCAAAAAAATTACAGTTTAAGTAATGCATTGGGTTTGAGGGGAGGAATAAGAAAGGAGGAAAGAGGAAGAGAGAGTAAAAAGGTGATGAGAGCGAAGTGGAGTGAGCTTTTGCCTCTGCCAGTGTTTGATCGTAGGTTGAATTTCCTATGTGTCAAATAAATGTCATGGCCTTAAATTTCAAACTGACCATGCTTGAAATTTGAGTCCTGACTTCCCCTGCAAGCCCCACTTGGAGTCTTCTGACATCAAGGTATGGCAGTCTTACTCTTTGCTACCATAGGCCCAATTCTCACAAGTCTGCATCCTGTAAAGGTTGTGATTATATGGCCAAAGAAGGCACTGTGTTTTCTTGACATTCTGAACTATGACTTCTAGTGGCTGTCTTGTGATTTCTCTTCGAGTCAAGAGTCTCACTTAGTAGCCCAGGCTGGATTTATGTGACAGGGTCATGGCTTACTGTAGCTTCAACCTCCTGGTCTCAGAGGATCCTTCCACCTTAGCCTCCCAAGTAGCTAACATCGGGCTAAATTTTTGTTTTTAGCGAAGGTCTCTCTATGTTGCCTAGACTGGTGGTGGTATCAGGAGAAGGGCTGCTCCTCCCAGTGTAAGAAAAGGTTGACAGTGAGTTCTTGTGTTCATATTTGGAATGAATTCAGAGACAGTCACAGAGAAGTGGGATAAGCAAGTAAATTTATTAAGCAAAGAGTACACTCAAGAGGAGAGTGGGCACAAACAGCCTATAAAAGCTGCTGCTTTTGCACCCAACAATTGTTGAACTTTACCTTTTTTTGCTAGGGTTAGTGAAGGGTGGGTTTTGGGGTGTGTTTTTCCTAGAAATGGGTTGTCTTAAGACTGGGTCTTTGTTACTCTTCCCTCACATCAGACTAGGGTGTTTTGGACCTGATGGGGTCATGCAAGTACTGTCATGAAGTCAGGTGTATGATGGGAGTTGGTGGCTCCTCTTAAGGTAAATTAATGTTAAAAAATATTACAGTGGTTGGGTGTAGTGGCTCATGCCTGTAATCCCAGCACTTTGGGAGGCCGAAGCAAGAGGATTGCCTGAGCCCAGAGGTTCGAGGCAAGCCGGGGCAAGTTGGTGAGACCTCGTCTCTACAACAAATCAAAAATACTAGGCGGATGTGGTGGCTCATGCCTGTGGTTCCAGCTACTTGGAAGGCTGAGGCGGAAAGATCGCCTGAGCCCAGCAGGTGGAGGCTGCCGTGGCTGTGAGCGTATTCTAGACTGATAGAGCAGGCAGATCTAACTAGGAAAGCCTCAGAGCTGTAGGATACCTGCAGCAGCTGGTGCAGAACCACGCCCACAAGCAAGTGGCCTAGCTGCAGGGATCTCACACCTACCTACCTGTGCAACTCTCATCAGACACACCTGCAGCACTATAGTCCGTCCATCCAGGACAATTGTGGTCCAGAGCCAGCCACTAAGGGAGGAACTATGTAAAGACCCTCAGAGCAAGCGCACCACTAGCCAAGGTTGACCTCAGATAACCATAACCTACTTTTACCTTCATTGCAATTTTTTTTTTGTAACGTATTTTTTTATTTGGAGTCTCACTCTGTCGCCCAGACGTGGAGTGCAGTGTACGCTCACAGTCACCGCAGCCTCGTTTCAGGCTATCCTTCTGCCTCAGCCTTCCAAGTAGCTGGAACCACAGGCGTGGGTCACCACGCCCGGCTAACTTTTTGGTTTATCGTAGAGACGAGGTCTCACCAAATTGCTCAGGCTGGTCTCGAACCCGGGGCTCAGGCAATCCTCTCGCCTCGGCCTCCCAAAGTGCTGAGATTACAGGCTAAGCCACCGCGCCCGGCCGAGCCACCGCGCCCGGCCGAGCCACCGCGCCCGGCCTGGCAGCTTTTTAAACTGCTCATATATGTATTCTCCTTGAAAAGATCCCGAAAATAGGCAACGGGAACCAGAAGTCAGGACGGCTCCAAGGCGGACTGAGCTCCTTGGCAAATTGGCCTGACACCGAGTCAATATCCCCCCTCTCCTGAAGCTCGATTTTCTCAGGTGTAGAATGGGCCATTTGGTCCCTCCGGCTTGTGCCCGTTGCAAAGAGCCGGCTCTGAAATGACACTCGGTCCTGTTCGCACTTGAGGGAAAAAGGCGCGCGTGGAAAGGTGCCCGCCCGCGGCTGCCCGTGGCTGCCTGCGGCGACGTGTAAGAAAAACTGCATTATCCTGAAGGCACTGCGCCGTGCTGTGGCGGACTCTGGACCAATGACGGACGATGACAACGGTGGGGGCGGGACTTCCGGGTGCCGCGGCGTGCGTCATCTTTCTGCGCCGTGGTTTTTATGCGCGGTGCTGCTTGGAACCCCGGACCGGATCCGTGTACCGGCCTGAGCCAGGAAGGAAACCTTACCCGCGTCCTGGTCCGAGCCTGACAGGCCCCCTTTTAACGTGTTTCCGCCTCCTCAAACGCCTGGTCTCCGCAACCCCTACGCTGTGCCCTGAACTCTGTGACCCGGGGGAAACAGGCTTGGCGAACCGAAGTCGGCCCGTCCGGGACAGAGAAGCGGAAGGGCTGGGGGTCGGCCGGGCCCGCGGGATCCCCCGCTCGGGCCTCAGGGTCCCCGGATGGCGACAGCGCTGATGACCCCTGCGCGGGTGAGTGGGCCGAGTTCCTGGCCTGCTGCGTCGCTCTGGTTCCGAGAGGCCTCGGGGCCAGGCAGGAGGCCAAGAAGGCCGCCGGGAATCTCTCGGTCGTCGTCTGCTCCTGAGGCGAGGCCGTGGCCGGTCGAGGGCCTCGTCCGGGCGCGGGTGGCGCGGTGGCGACGAGAAGCGCTGTCGCCGGGGGGCTCGTTCTCGCTGTGCGTAAACCCAGCCTCGCCCGTGGCCCGCGAGGCCCCGCCCCTGCCTCTCTCGCCCGCCGCCTCCGCCAGGTCGCTGCCGGTCGTTCCCAGGTCCAGGGCTCTGCGGGCGCGCGCACCTGAGCACGCAGTTAATCTCTTCCACTCCCCAGCGCACGTCTCTGCTCTAACCTTTGTCTGGAGCACAGGCGTCCGTCTCAGGCTCTAGCCTCTGCTCAGATACCGCCTACTTGGAGAGTCCGTACTCAGGCTGAAGTGACTCTTTCCCAGGAACTGGCATTTTGTCACGTGGAAATAGTGGAAATCTGCCACGATGAAAGAAACTTGCTGTATTGAGTTTGACCAGGATGTTATGGGAATAAAGAGAAAAGAGATAAAGAGAACTTTTTAGAGCAGAATCAGTGGCTCACCCTAATCCCTGCCCTGTTAGTGGCAGAGATCGGAGGATCGCTTGAGGCCGAGAGTTCGAGAGCAGTCTAGGCAACACAGTAAGTCCTAGTGTCTACCAAAAAAATAAAAAGTAGCTGTCATTGTATGGCGGGTCTGTAGTTCCAGCTACTTGGAAAGCTGAGGTGGTAGGATTGCCTGAGCCCAGTAGGTCAAGAGCGCAGTGAAACTTGATCGCGTCACAGCACTCCACTCAAAAATAAATAAATAAATAAAAACAAAAATAAAGCACTTGGAGCTATCCTTCACTGAGACCTTGCTGTGGGCTGATATGCAACCATTATGTTTCACCTCACTGAATCATCTCCTTGTATTTAATTTCTGTTGTCAGCACTGCTTTTCACAACAGAAACGGCCTCACATAGGTTCAGTTACCTGCCCGAGATTACTGTGGGTCTTAAGAATCGGAACTAGCCGGGCTCGGTGGCTCAGCCTGTAATCCCACACCTTGGGAGACTGAGGTGAGTGGATTGCTTGAGTCCGCGGGTTCGAGACCAACCTGGGCAACTTGGCGAGACCCCCATCTCTATAATAAATGAAAAATTAGCCGGGTGTGGTAGTGCGCACCTGTAGTTCCAGCTACTTGGAAGGCTGAGGCAGAAGGATCGCCGGAGCCCAGCAGGTCGAGGCTGCGGTGGCCGGGAACGGCCACTGCACTCCAGTCTGGGCGACAGAGGTGAGACTTCAACTCAAAAAAAAAGAATCAGAACTAAGAACCAGTGAACCAGTTGTATGTTGCCCATAATAGTCTGTGTTTTTACTGTTTTCTCTACCACCATGGAGTAGGAGGCCTTCCGGCAGGTGATTTTAAGCATGCAGGGACTTGGCATTTCAGGCAGTGGACCTGTGTGGACAAGAATGTGGCATAGAAGTCCCCAGGGGACCGGTGTGGTTTTTGTTTGTTTTCTTTTTTCTTTTTTTTTTTGAGTTGGCATCTAACTCTCTCACCCAGGCTGGAGTGCAGTGGCATGCTCATGGCCACCACAGCCTTGACCTACTGGGCTCAGGCAATCCTTCCGTCTCAGCCTTCCAAGTAGCTGGAACTACAAGCATGTACCACCATGCCCAGCTTATATTTTCTGTGTGGAGACTAAGTCTTGCCAAGTTGCTCAGACTGGTGTTGAACCCCTGAGCTCGGGCAGCCCTCTAACTTCAGCCTCCCAAAGTGCTGGGGTTACCGGCTTGAGCCACTGCCCCAGGCCCTCTTTTTGTTTTCTAAGTGGTTTCCTTCTGTACCTGCTGACACATGTTCTGATTGTGTGTTCTGAATGTTCCTTCCTACTCAGCCAGGATGGACATGGCCGTCAAGGGCCCATGTTCTCATGGCTGTGGCCTTCCATGTCCTCTCTGACTCTTGTTTCCTATTCCTGATGTATCCTGGCCTCAGGGATCTGGGCTGGCAAGACTCTAGTAAAAAAGAAGTGATAGCTTCTGTTGGGCTTTCCCTGGACATCCATGAGGCACAGAAGGAGTGTCTAAGACAGTGTCCAGGCCCTGCCGCTTCTGAGGCAGGTGCCATCACTTCAAGTGACTCTTCTGTGAGGTGGGTGATGACTACACGTCTCTACACCTGTCCATAGAAATATTTTCAAGTTTGCTGAAGTGGACATATTGATTAGAAGTATTTCACATCCTTATTAACTGCTAATGGAGGAGTGCCAGGTTACATGATTAGCACATAGACCAGAGGGCCTGAGTAGAAATCTTGCTTTTGCTGATTGGAACTGTGACTTCAGTGAACTGGTAGAGCTCCTATGGGCACAGCTCTCTGAGTTTCTGAGTGTGACATGGAGATGATGATGGTGCTGACTTCTGGGAGCTGGACCTTTGCCCCAGTGTTTCTTTTTTGTTTTTCTTTTTAGATTGGAAAATGCAGTTTATTTAGAAAGTAAATTAGAGAGAAAGAGGAGATTGACCTCCCCAAAATAAGGAAGGGGACCAAAACCAGGAAACATGACAATGGCCATAGCTCAAAGAGCACATGACCACACCAAAGTCTAGAAAGGCAGTAGCCCCCAGTATTTTCTTTACAAACATTTTTTCTTTAAATCGTTTGAGTATTCTTGGTTAACAGGAAAACTTTGTTGTGTTAATGTGGCAATTGAGGCTGAGAAAAATGAAATGAGGTCCCCAAGGTCACACAGCTTGTATGTGTGGAATTCAGGAGTTTGGTTTTAAACTTCACGAGTCTGACTTCTGAGGTGGGGACTTTGAATCCGTTTAGTATGGAATGTAAAGTCTTCACCATGAGTCAGGTACACAGGGAGGACCGATAAGACTCAGCTGCTTTTATTTATTTATTTTGAGTCCAAGCCTCACTCTTGCCCAGGCTAGAGTGCAGTGGCATGCTCATGGTCACTGCAGCCTCGACCTGCTGGGTTCAGGTGATCCTTCTACTTCAGCCTTCCAAGTAGCTGGAACCACAGGCACGCGCCACCATGCCCAGCTAATTTTTTAATTTATTGTAGAGACTAGGTGTTGCCACATTGCCCAGGATGGTCTCGAACCCGTGGGCTCAAGCAGTCCTTTCACCTCCACCTCCCAAAATGCTGGGATTACAGGTGGGAGCCACCACGTCCAGCTGCTTTTATTGTTACTGGTGTTTTTATTATTCTTTTCCATTCCTGTGATATCATAGAGTACTTACAGCCTGTGCCTCTCAGCCCACTCAGAATTTCCTCACCTTACTTCTATTGACAGTGGCTTCCTGCATAGGAAGTTACTCTCTCCTCGACACGCCATAATTCAAGGCAGTGTCCACGTTCCCCTTGAGGCTGGCAGAGAACTTGCCCTTCTGGAGGTGCTTGGTAATTCGGCCCTCGATTGACTTTTGCAGTGCTGGAGTAACAGGCTCTAGTTCTATTCCATAGTTACATGGGGAACACACCTATCTCTGTTTGTCTTTCCAGATGTCTGTGACCTTTGAAGATGTGGCTGTGATGTTCACCCAGGAGGAATGGGGGCAGCTGGATGTGACCCAGAGGACCTTGTACTGGGAGGTGATGCTGGAGATCTGTCATCTTCTGTTCTCTCTGGGTAAGGCCCCTGTCTCCACCACGTGGGGCATGTGAAGGCTCCTTTATCCCAGCCTCTGGCTCCAGGCTCCCACTCCTCACAGCTTCACTTATTTTCTGAACTCACCTGTTTCTTCCTCATCTTGTGCTTCTCACATGGAGAGGGTTGGTCAAGAAACTTAGTTCACCACTGGTCACAGCCAAAGGAGAGGGATGTGTTGGAAAGAAAGGGTGTGTTTTGCAGAACTCAAAGGTAGGATTTCCAGCTGGGCCTTTTGAGGGATTAATATTTTATTGGAGGGCTGTGTACCATGGTTCACACCTTTAATCTTACCACTTTGGGAGGCTAGTAAGAGGATTGCTTGAGCCCAGGAGTTGGAGACCAGCCTAGGAAACATAGTGAGACCTTGTCTCTACAAAAAGTTTTTAAAAATTAACTGAGTGGGGTGGTATGTGCCCTATAGTCTTAGCTACTCAGGAGACTGAGGCAGTGGGATCACCTGAGCTTAGGATATCAAGGCTGCAGTGAGCTGTGATTGTGCCATTGTACTGTAGCCTAGGCAGCAAAGGGAAACCCCCAACAACAATAACAACAACATAATATTGTATCTGTGAGGAAGCACAATCATGTCTGGGTTTCTGGGTGTCTTGTCCTGGCTTCCCTCTGTGGGTCTGCTGCTGTCACTGTCTTTCCATGATAACCTTTTGTGCCTAAGCTATTGTTTGGAAGTAAGTGGCCTTCCAGTCCTTGGACTCTGAGTCTCATTCTTTGTCACTACTGCTTTCTGCATTTTTATGTTTTTCTCTGTTGACGGTTTTCTCATTTAATTCTCCTGACATGCCCATCCCAAGAGTGTAAGGGTAATAGGGCCATTGCAGTGAGTTTCCTATAATTAGTTCAGTTTAAAAGATACACCTTCATCTTGAGATGCTGTTCTTTACATTTTTTGGTGGTAAAAATTCTTTCTTTTGTGAAATACTGATTTAGATGTTTTTGCAAATATGTATTTGTGACCAAATAAATCACTGTGTGGGACTCTTTCCTGATTTTTTATTTTTTAGTGGTTCGTAGAAGGCTTTAGTGTGGAATTACCACCTCTACCCTTCACTCTGGCTCCTGTTCCCTTAAGATTGAATCATGCTCATGTTCATCTCTTCTCCACAGTGTACTTGGTCTGAGTGGGCTAGCTCCACACATGGGTGTTTGTGTTTCATTCTTAGTGTAACTTTTCTGAGGCCTAGGTCTAGGACCAGAACCTCTGGAGTCTATTCTCAGCTCTGCTACTTATGAACTGTGTGTTCCTAGGAAAGTTACTGAACCCCTCTCTGTCAGTTTTCTCAGGTAAAGTGGGACAATATAGTATCTGTTTCACAAGGCTATTGTGATGGTAAATGATTCAGAGCAATGCCTGGTAATATCTGACTGTGTGTAGGTTTGCAATTATGACCTCTATTGCTGTCACTACTTTTACTGTTAATTATCATCTTCGTTGTCCTCATGATTGTCATTATTACACTTGGACTCAGCATTTTCTGAAACAGTCTTGGGTAGTTTGTGGTGAAATTAACCAGATGAAACTGGGTGCAGTGACTCACACCTGTAATCCCCCCTCTGGGAGGCAGAGTTGAGAGGATTGCCTAAACTCAGGGGTTTGAGACCAGCCTAGGCAACTTGGTGAGACCTTGTCTCTAAAATAAATTTTAAAAATTAAATGGGTGTGGTGGTGCACATCTGTGGTTCCAGCTACTTGGAAGGTTGAGACAGAAGGATCATCTGAGCCCAACAGGTTGAGTCTGGTGGCCATGAGCATGCCACTGCACTCCTGCCTAGGTGACAGAGTGAGATTCCAACTCAAAAAATGAATGAATGAATGGGAGGGAGGGAGGGAAGGATGGAAATCAAAGGGAATTGGTGCTGTCCACACAGCCTTTGGGACCCAACAATGGTGTTTTTGCAGTTGGTTTCCTGGTTACTGTTCAGTATTTTGTTTGCTTGGTTGGGAGGAACTTCATTTTGAGGTCTTTCCCATCTTAATGTCATAGACTGGTTTGAGAGGTTACTTTCTTCTAACTCCACTTGTATCCTGTTATGTTCTCCATTCGTAGGCTGTCCTTTGTCCAAACAAGAGCTGATCTACCAGTTGGAGCATAGTGAGGAGTTATGGATGGTGAAGAAAGATACCTCCCACAACTCCTGTCCAGGTAGGAGCCAGTAGCTGGGAAGGTGGGGGTCATGGCGGCTTGCAGATGGAAAGGTGAACACTGCCTCTGAATTTTGTGAGAATCTTCTTGTTGTGGTCTCTCTGGGTACTTGGGATGCATGAAACCTTTTAACCTGTCCTTCCTCTACCCTCCACCAGCCTCAGGCTCATCTACTCCACATGGCTTCTGGCGGGGGTTTAGGGTATATTACATAGGTTCAGGCTCTTGGCTTTAACTGCTTGAGCTTACAAACTAGCTTTGACCCGATATAGCATTGTGACCCTGGAGATGTCGCATGTCCTATGACCTTGTTGGAGTGCAGGGGTAGGAAATCAGCTTACCAGAGCCTTGACTTCCTGGGCCCAGGTGATCCTTCCACTTAGGCCTCTCAAGTAGCTGGGAATACAGTCATGCATCACTATACCTGGCTAAGTTTTTTCTTTTTTTGAAGGGAGGAGATCTTGTTAATGTTGCCTAGGCTGGTCTCGAACTTCTGTATTCAATCAATCCTCCCACCTTGGCCTCCCAAAGTGCTGGGATCACAGGTGTGAGCTGCTATGCCTGGCCCTGGAAATACTTTTTTTAAAAAAATCTCATATGGAAAAATACTTTTATGTGGTTGCAGGATTTGAGGGAAAGTGATATCATTGATGGCAAAACAAATAAGATGAAGGATATAAAACTGGTGAATTTAATGCCAGCAAAAGGTGGTTTGATAATTTTAGAAAAAGACTGGACTTCAAAATGTCAAGATAGGCTGGGCTCAGTGGCTCAGCCTGTAATCCCAGCACTTTGGGAGGCCAAGGTGAGTGGATTGCCTGAGCCCGCGGGTTCGAAACCCATGCGGGCAACTTGGCAAGACCTTGTCTCTACAATAAATCAAAAATTAGCCAGGTGTGGTAGCATACACTTGTGGTTCTGGCTGCTTGGAAGGCTGAGGTGGAAGGATCACTGGAGCCCAGCAGGTCGAAGCTGTGGTGACTGGAAGCGTGCCACTGCACTCCAGCCTGGGCGACAGAGTTAGACGCCAACTAAAAAAAAAAATCAAGGTAACAGGAGAAGCAGCTTCTGCCAACGAAGAGGCAGCAGATGAGTGTCTTGGCATTGTAAAAAAAAAAAATCATTGAAAGCATAACTGCCTGAATAGTTTTTTAATGTAGATGCAAGTGATCTATTCTGGAAGAAAAATGACACAATGAACTTCTATTAGTAAGAAAGAGATGCAAGCATCAAGATTTAAGGCAAGAAGGGACAGGCTAATGCTCCTGTTTTGTGCAAATGCAACTGGGTTTCTGATCAGGACTGTCATTATCTGTCATGCTGGGAGCCCTCAATTTTTGAAGTAAAAACAGAAATACCAGCTGCTTGTCTTTAGTCGTACAGTGGGAAGGCCTAGACAGTGAGAGCCCTTTTTCTGGATTGGTTCCATCGATGCTTTGTCCCTGAACTAAGGAAGTGCCTTGAGAGTAAGGGACTGCCTTTAAAGGTCTTTTGGTATTGGACAGTGCCCTTGGCACCCAGAACTTAATGAGTTCAACACCAAAGGTGTCAAAGTTGCCTAATTGCCTTTAGTGAAACTAAAGGAAATGGTGAAAGGATGATTGATACCATAAAGAAAAATTTTGTAAAGGAAAAAGCAAAAACGTCAGACAAATTACGATATATTTTCAAAAACTTACACTGAATGTGCCCACCTCTCTTGCCTCTCCTTCCAATTCCTCCTCCTTTTTCTCCTCTATCATCCCTGAAACACCTTTCTTCCTCAGCCTATTCAATGTGAAGACAACAAGGAAGATGGCCTTTATAAAGATCCACTCCACTTTTTTTTCTTCTTCTCCTGTGGTTTTTTTTTGAGTCAGGGTCTCACTCTATTACCCAGACTGGAGTGATAAAGGCTTCCCGCAGCCTTGACCTCCTGGGCTTAAGCAATCCTTCTACCTTAGCCTCCTTAGTAGCTGGAAATACAGGTGTGTGCTACCACCCCTGGCTAATTTTTTTGATTTTTTTTTTTTGGAAGAGACAAAATCTCAGTATGTTGCCCAGGCTGGTCTTGAACTCCTAGGTGCAAGCAATCAATCTTCCCGCCTTGGCTTCCCTACGTGCTGGGATTACAGGCATGAGCCATTGTGTCCAGTCCAACTTCCACTTAATGAAATAGTAAATATATTTTCTTTTCCCTATAATTTTCTTAATATTTTATGGTCTCTAGCTTACTTTATTGTAAGAATACAGTATAATATCCTTAATACCATAACATACAAATTATGTTTTAATTGTTCTTTTGTCATGTCTGGAAGGTCACCAGTAGGCTTTTAGTGAATTTTTGGGAGTCAGAAGTTATATGTGAATTTTCTGTTGCATGGGGGTTCAATGTCCCTTATCCTCATGTTGTTCACAGGTCAACTATATACTCTCTTGTACACTCTTTTCTACCTTCTTTATCCACCCATCCTGGGACGTCAGTCAGATGCTCAGAAGTGATCCATTCTCCCTTGTCTTTTTTTTGTTTTGAGTTGGAGTCTCACTCTGTTTCCCAGGCTGGAATGCAGAGGCACACTCCCAGCTACTCCATACTCCCCTGCTACTTGCTGGGCTCTAGTGATCCTTCCATCTCAGCCTTACTAGTAGCTGAAACTATAGGTGTTTACCACTGTGCCTGGCTAATGTTTTGAATTATTGTAGAGACAAAGTTTTGCTGAATTGCCCTGACTGGTCTTGAACCCCTGGGCTCAGGCAATTCTCTTGCCTCTGCCTCCCAAAGTGCTGAGATTACTGGCCCTATATCTTTTTTCCTTTTTTTTTTGAGTCAGAGTCTTACTCTGTCGCCCAGGCTGGAGTGAAAGGGGCATACTCACGGCCACCACAGCTTCTGCCAGCTGGGCTCAGGCAATCCTTTCACTTCAGCCTTCCAAGTAGCTGGAACTAGAGATGTGTGCAACCATGCCCAGCTAATTTTTCTAGATTTATTGTAGAGGTGAGGTCTCACCAAGTTGCCCGGGCTGGTCTCCAACCCTTGGGCTCAGGCACTCCTCTGAGTCACCACCCCCAGCCTCCTATATCTTTTTTATTTTAAATTTTACGAACCTAGATTCTCCTGAAGAACATCCCATGTCTTCTTGCTCTTCCTGGTTTATAGAACCTCAGGGTGCCATTTTGCCTTTTCTGCCCCATATTGGGGAGCTGAGGGCACTGGGGCCATCATGTGTGTTGATTGGCACCAATATAGAGTCATGATGTTTCCCATCTGGTAGTCCCTTGGGGTGCACACCCATCTGGTGAGTCTGTCTTCTCAGCCCCTCAGTCTGTTTCTAACCTTTACAACCCTTGACCTTCATCCCACATCTCCAGTAAATGTTAAAAAGGCATTTGAATCTAAAAATGTCTAAGACGGAGCTTGTGGTGTTGCCCACTTCTTCCGTCTCCCCTGTATCAGGGATGGTCATGCCATGCTAGCAAATTAGAAGATATACAACCTTAGACAGCTCTTCCAATCCATCAATTCCTACATCCAGACATCTCCAAGTTTCGCCCATTTTGCAACATGCCTGTGTCTTTAATCTCTTCTACTACCTACTTTAGGCCCATCCTCATACTCCTAGTATAAGTTAGCAACTTTTGCCCGGGTGATGCCAAACCACTCATACCTGGTCTTCCCATGACTCATTTGTGCCTCTGATCAGCACTGTCTCCTGCACCAACTCCTCTAGGCTGTCAGACCTTATTCACTTAAATGTCTCATATGTGTTAGCTTCCATTCTTACCTGCCTAGAAGAGAACTTGCCCTTGACCATGGCCAATTCCTGCACAACATCTAGATCATAACTTTTTAATTTTTTAGGCAGTTTTTCTTACTTGGTGCCTGGCCCTGTGCTGAACATAATATTTGTAGTGTTTCACTTCATCTCTTCTACACTCCTAAAAGATAGATCCTATTTTTAGCCCTAGGCTTTACAAGATTAAATGGGGACTCATGGGATTTGAGTGGCTTCCTCAGTGCCACACACACAAAAAGCTAATATTGAATTCTGCTGGAACCATAATATTTATTGTCATAAATCATAATACTCAAGTGGCCTGTAACTTCTTTTCAGTGGACCCCAGGTGTACAGATTTTGATTGTAAACCTTGGCTTATGATGCAATATCATAATTGATTCATGGATGGCTCTGATTAATACATTTATTAATTTGTTCATTTATTTTTTAACATGAACAAATTAATAACAGCTGACCAAAGAAATGAGGACAAATTAAAAACAGCTGACCAAAGAAATGAGGACATTACTCATACTCATAGTACTGTTTTATTTAGTTTGGATTGCTATAACAAAGTGCCATAACCTGGGTGGCTTAAACAGCAAACATTTATTTCTTATAGTTATAGAGACTGGGAATCTCAAGATAAGATACTGGCGATCTGGTATCTGGTATCTGCTTCCTGATTTGCAGATGGCCATCTTCTTGTATCTTCACATGGGCACCATTGATACAACCTGTTGGGATTATATGTGAATTCATATGTTTTATTGGATAGATCTGACAGTTTTTTATTATTGGGTCTATATAGATTATTGGGTCTATATAGATCTTACTGTAGTTTGAAGTGTTATAATTTTCTCCATCAGCTTGTGTCTTTAGTCTTTTCATGTCACTCTTTTTTTTTATTTTTGAGTTGGAGTCTCACTCCTGTTGCCCAGACTGGAGTGCAGTAGCACGCTCCTGGCCACTGCAGCCTCGACCTGCTGGGCTCCGGCGATCCTTCCACCTCAGCCTTCCAAGTAGTTGAAAGTACAGGCGCGCGCTACCATGCCTGGCTAATTTTTTTATTTATTGTAGAGATGAGGTCTTGCTAAGTTGCCGAGGTGGGTCTCGAACCCGTGGTCTCAGGCAATCCACTCACCTCAGTCTCCCAAAGCACAGGATTACAGGCTGAGCCACCGAGCCCGGCCTGGGTCACTATTTCTTACAGTTGTGTAGAGTTTGTAGGTCAGTTTTGGGAGAATAGATAACTTTGTTATTCATTTCTTCGTTCATGTAGATCTTTACTCTCTTTAAGTAACGTTATATAATTTTCTTCAAGGTATGGTTTGTTTTGTTAGTTTTCTTACCTATCTGTTCTTCTGATACAGTAGACTCATTATGGCCACACAAGTCATGTTTGCTTTCTGTTTTGTAAGCCCTGTCCTTGGAGTGGCCATAGCCATCACCAACTGTTCCTAAGGCAGAATCTTAAACATCAACTTCCTATCTGCTCCCACCTGTCTCTGGGTTCTCACCAACCTCATCTTCTGTTAGGGTTGTGTCCTTTCACTGTAGCTCCTAGATTCTCTGAAGACTCTGCTTCTTTTTTTTTAACATTCTATTTCTTAAGGCTGACATGTCTTTCCCACTTTCCCAATATGGCAACTTCACCTCTCCATTAGGACTAAGCTTATGAAGCCCCCCTTCTGAGAATCCTCCCTGACCTCTTACCTTGACATATTCTTGCTTTGAGTAAACACACCACACAATGTTGTCATTACTCTGTCCAACCTGCCCAGTCATGACTGTGAGTAGAAGGTCTCTATTTGTGAAGGATGAGGTCACTCTACCTTATGTGGTAATCAGCTATGTTGATATCCAGTTTATCTAGGGTTTCTTGTGTAAGAGTACATATTTTCTGTAAATGCCCTTATGTTAAAATACCGCAGACATTATCGCAGAAATTACTGACGGTTTGACATATATGGCATTCTTGTCTTTTCCTATAAGGTCACTCTACACAGTACGTATATTCTTTCCCTGTGGTATATAAACCTTGGGTCTAGGGGATAATAGCACAGAGATCTGCCTGTCTTACAGCCACCCAAGACCACACTTCTGTCTGTAAGTCCTCAATAAATTCTCCTTTATTGATAAACTGTATTTATTTGTCTCGTTCTTTGGTTTATCATCTCCTTCAGCTTTTGGAGGTTGCTTTGCATATATGGCCCTTTCATGAAATGCTGTTCTCATTCCAGATACTCTATCACTTGTCCCAGCTTCTTCCTTTGGGTTTCCCTTTAAAAGTTTGAATAGTCTAAGGACCAGAAAAAAAAAAACGACAGACCTAGGTTTTAGAAATTTCAAAACTTAACAGATGTAGAGCCACTATTTTTTTTTTTAATTTTTATTATAAAGATGTGGGGTACAATTCAGAGTTAGGTATACAAACATTGATCATGCAGGTACCCCTGTTAATGAGGTATGCCCCTCCCTCCCCTAGCAGTTTCCCTCAACTGCCAATCCCACCCCCCCACCCCCACCAACAGTTTCCCATTACTGCCAATCGCTTTCTTATAGCATTATAATTGTTCAAGTTCCTCTTATGAGTGAGAACATGTGGAACTTTGATGGTTGTTTCTGTGCTAAATCACCGAGTATGATCGACTCCAAATCCATCCAGGTTGTTGCAAAGTCCATATATTTGTCGTTCTTTATTAGAGCCACTCTTTTAATCTTGTTCTCACTGAAATGGTAATTTTGTTTCTTTATGTGGCCATCCTTAATAGGCCTTTCATGTATTTTATTTCCTTCAGGTCACAGCAGAAAACCCAAGGCTACAGAACCTACCCCTTCTCATCTGGTATTGCCTGAGGGAATCTCATTCCAGGACCAGCTGACACAGGGAGCCTCAAATGATCTGCAGTTCCAACAGGCCAGGGATCAGGATGTGCCAAGTGAAAAGGAAGGCCTGTTGATACCAGAGATAGATGCACAGAGGGAGAGATGTACTGAGAAAATTAGTTCTGAACATGAAGGTTTGGGGTCAGGTAATAGTGTATGTTCAAGGATTATACAGGAGCAAGTTTTGTCAGAAGTTACTCTCTATAAATATGAATCACAAGGACCAGTTACAGATCTCTCAGTTCTTGAGGGGAAAAATTCCTATAAATGTGAGGAATGTGGAAAAATGTTTAACAAAAATTGCCTCTTCGTTCAACATGAGCACATTCACACTCAGATGGAACCCTTGAATGCACAGAATGTGGGAAAGCCTTTAGCAAGAGTACACATCTCCTTCATCACCACATCATCCATACTGGCGAGAAGTCCTATAAATACATGGTGTGGGAAGGACTTTACCTGCAGGTCATAGCTCACACAGCACCAGCAGACTCACATAGGAGAGAAGCCTTTTGTGTGCTCTATATGCGGTGTATGCGGAAAGGCCTTCAGTGATGGGTCACACCTTAGACAGCACCAACGGATTCACTTGGGAGAAAAGCCTTATAAGTGCAGTGAATGTGGAAAGGCCTTCAGCTGGGGGTCATATCTTAAATGGCACCAGCGGATTCACACGGGAGAAAAGCCTTATAAGTGCAGTGAATGTGGAAAGGCCTTTGCCCACGACAACAGTCTTGTCTTGCATAAAAGAACTCACACTGGAGAAAAACCCTATGAATGCAAAGAATGTGGGAAAGCCTTTAGAGCTAGGGCAAGCCTCCATCAACACTTCAGCATCCACACTGGAGAGAAGCCCTATTAATGTATCCAGTGTGGGAAAGCCTTTTTCCAGAATGCACACCTCATTCGACACTCCATTATCCACACTGGAGAGAAGTCCTTTGTGTGCAGTGAATGTGGAAAGGCCTTTGCCCGACGCTCTACTTTTGTCTTGCATAACAAGATCCACACTGGAGAAAAACCCTTTGTGTGCAAAGAATGTGACAAAGTCTTTCGAGATAAGCCAAGTTTCATTAGACATTGTACCATCCACACTGGAGAGAAGCCTTATAAGTGTAGTGAATGTGGAAAGGCCTTCCCCCGCCGCTTCATTCTTGTCTTGGATAAAAGGACTCACACTGGAGAAAAACCCTATGAATGCAAGGAATGTAGGAAGACTTTTGGAGCTAGGGCAGGCCTCAGTCGACACTTCAGCATCCACTCTGGAGAGAAGCCCTATGAATGTACCCGGTGTGGGAAAGCCTTTTCTCAGCACGCACACCTTGTTCAGCACTCCATCATCCACACTAGGGAAAAACCCTGTGAGTGCAGTGAATGTGGAAAGGCTTTCACCAATTACACCACTCTTGTATTGCATAAAAGAACCCACAGTGGAGAAAAACCTTTTGAATGCAAAGAATGTGGGAAAGCCTTTAGCATTTTCGGAAAGCTCTCCTACGACACTTCAGCATCCACACTCAAGAGAAGCCCCATAAGTGTGTTGAGTGTGGGAAGGCCTTCAACAGTAAGTCACACCTCAAGTAGCACCAGTGAATTCACACTGGGGAGAAGCCTATGAGTGCAGTGAATGTGGAAAGGCCTTCACTTACCACTTCAGTATTCTCGTGCATAAAAGGACTCACACTGGAGAAAAACCCTATGAATGCAAAGAATGTGGGAAAGCTTTTAGAGCTAGGGCGGGCCTCAATCGACACTTAAGCATCCACACTGGAGAGAAGCCCCATGAATGCATCCAGTGTGGGAAAGCCTTTTCCCGGAGTGCATACCTTGTTCGACACTGTCATCCACACTGGAGAGAAGCCCTATGAGTGTAGTGTATGTGGAAAGGCTTTCACTGAATACTCTACTTTTGTATTACATAAAAGAACCCACACTGGAGAAAAACCTTTTGAGTGCAAAGAATGTGGAAAAGCCTTTAGCATTCGGAAAGCCCTTCTTCGCCACTTCAGCCTCCACACTGGAGAGAAGCCCTATGAGTGCATGGAGTGTGGAAAGACCTTCACTGACAGGTCAGTCCTCACTAGGCACCAGCGAATTCATACTGAAGAGAAGCCCTATGAATGTGTTGAATGTGGGAAGACCTTCAATAGTAGGTCATACCTCAAGCAACACCAGCGAATTCACACTGGGGAGAAGCCTTATGAATGCAGTGAATGTGGAAAGGCCTTCACTCACCACTTCACTCTTGTCTTGCATAAAAGAACTCACACTGGAGAAAAACCTTATGAATGCAAAGAATGTGGGAAACTTTTTAGAGGAAGGGCAGCACTCAATTATCACTTCAGTATCCACACTGGGGAGAAGCCCTATGAGTGTGTGGAGTGTGGAAAGGCCTTTATCCACAGGTCAGGCCTTACTATTCACCAGCGAATTCATAGTGGAGAGAAGCCCTGTGAATGTATCCAGTGTGGGAAAACCTTTTCCCAGAGTGCACACCTCATCTGACACTCCCTCATCCACACTGGAGAGAAGCACTATGAGTGCAGCGAATGTGGAAAGGTTTTTAACCGCACCTCATCCCTCACTCATCATCAAAGGATTCATACTGGGAGAAACCCTACCAGTATAACAGATGTGGGAAGACCTTTTACAACTGTAAAAACTTCAGCCAATATCCAAGAATTCCAATTAGAGAAATAATTTTTTTAATATAACCACAGAAGAAAATCTGTAGTGAGGGGAAACATGTTACTGAGCATTTGACCATACTGAAGAGAAACATCATAAGCATCATCTCTGTGAGGAAACTTGTAGATCATTTTGTCATCTAAATAGTCATGTTAGAAATTGACCCAGTACAAGCTAGGCACCATGGCTCATGCCTGTAATTCAGCACTTTGGGAAGCAAAGGTGAGACTATTGCCTGAGCCCCAGGATTCAAGATCAGCCTGGGCAACTTGGTGAGACCTTGTCTTGACAATAAATCACAGTTGGTTGTGGTGGTACACTCCTGTGGTTCCAGCTACTTGGAAGCCTGAGACAGAAGGATTGCCTAAGCCCAGCAGGTTGAGGCTGCCATGGCTGTGAGAATTCCACTGCACTCCAGCCTGAGTGACAGAGTGAGACACTGACTCATTAAGAAAGAAAGAAAAAGAAAGGAAGGAGGGAGTTCATCCAGTGTAAAGTCTTATTCTGTATCTGAGAATTCACCCATGAAAGACCCAGTGGTTATTTTGCATGTAGAATAACCTTCAGTCACTTCTTTGTTCTTAGTTTAAAAGAAATATAATCAAATGAGATTATATTTCTATATATCGCATATATTTAAACAAAAGAGGAGTGACTTAGGGAAGAGACAGAAATTGAAGCCCAGCTGTTTTTAGACTTCCCTGACAAGCCCATAACAATTTGTCACCCCCCTCTTTATTTGAGGAGAGAGATGTGTTTCAGGGGGGAAAAAAAGTTTATTTTTCTTGTGCATACACTTATTGCTGTGCAGTGTCAGGACAGTTAGACAAATGAGGGTTTGTTTGAAAACAGTTTGTGAAAGCCTGCTTTGTTCCAAATCATTGTCTCTACTCTTGAGGAACAGGAATGAGCATGAGTCTTTATGAGAAATATGGAGGCTGGAGTTATGAAGAAGATCAAGATGTACATATGAACAGGTACTTTTACCGCCACTTGCGACTCTTATTTTTAAAAAACAGACCATTTATCCATGTGTCTTTAACCACCCAATACACATACTTTTTTCTTGATATATCTTTCTCTGTGAAATAGGGATGATAGTGTAACTATACACAGTGTAATCCATGGTATCCTAATTCTTCCCTCTAATTCTGTTTTCTCAACTTTAATTCTCATTAAAGTGAGTTCTTGAAGTCCACCTCAACAATTTTTTAGAACTCAAATGAGAGCCAGAACAAAGCACATAGCTAAATTAAGTTAAAAAATCATGATAAACTCAAAAGTCAAACACAGAAGGAATCTAATTTTTAATCCTAAAGGATTGTCGTGAAAGTTTACTGTAAAGTGACTGGAATTGTAACACGTAGACCTGCATGTTTATGTGCAGGAACATGTGAGTTTCACAGTTGTCACTATGAACTTAGATCTGATTGTGATGAATAATACCTTTAGTCAAGGCACTTTGAAATTTTTTTTTTGGTTATATTCTTGAGCTAGTCTTTGAGCTACATGTTATAGCACTACCTCACATTTAAAAATATGTAGAAAGATGTAAAGATAATCACTCATTCACTTTGAATTCTTCTCACAGTATTTATTTATTTATTTATTTATTTGGAGTCTCACTCTGTCGCCCAGACTGGAGGGCAGTAATGCACTCCCAGCCACCGCAGCCTCGAACTGCTGGACTCCAGTGATCCTTCCGCCTCAGCCTTCCAAGTAGCCAGAACCACAGGCACGCACTACCATGCCCGGCTAATTTTTGATTTATTGTAGAGATGAGGTCTCACCAAGTTGCCACGTGGGTCTCAAATCCACTTGTCTTGACCTCCCAAAGTGCTGGGATTACAGGCTGAGCCACTGAGCCCAGCCTAATCACAGTTTTTAAATGTGTAGTTTTCCATTGTCATTGTAGGCAAAATCATTTTGTACGAGGTGTGACAATTAAGTTCATGAACTCATCCTACATACCTCATTCCTGAGTATCACTATGGTCACCTTCGAAGTACTCCTTTTGGGAAGCTATGCACAGATACCCGTCAAAGCAGTTTTGGAACTCTCTGGAATGGCCCTCAGAGCTGTTATTATATCACTCTTGATGTCCTGAATGTCATCAAAATGTCTTCCTTTCAATATTTTCTTTATCTTCGAGTAAAGAAGAAAGTCATTGGGGACTAGATCAGGTGAGTAGAGAGGATGTTCCAATACAGCTATTTGTTTACTGGCTTAAAACTCCTTCAGAGTCGGACTCGGTGGCTCAGCTTGTAATCCCGTGCTTTGGGAGGCTGAGGTGAGTGGATTGCCTGAGCTCGCGGGTTCGAGA